ACTGTGACAATCTCTCAGGTCACCACTGGTGACATCGTTAGCAGCTGGGCTGCCCGCTTGGGTCAGGGACTGTCTCTGCCCCACACACCACTCAGGCTGCTATGTTGTTTGCCAGCTGAACAGTGAGTGAGACAGTCTCCACGCCCCATGTTTCTGCCTGGCACTACTTACGTGCATGCAGATGCTCTGAGAAGGCAGAATTCAATGTGCATGAGCTTTAGTTCAGGGAGTGCCTGCACAGAAATAGGAGGAGGATGTGGGAGGAGGCAGGAAGGAGCCTGACACCTGTGGAGGAGAGGGGTTAGCAAGAGAGAGAATTGGACAGAAGAGCTGCAGCCCACAGTGCCGTTCTGAGATTCTCAGCCAGGCGAATGGCAACTCTTCAAACCAAAGTCCTCTAATAAAAGCATATAAACTTTCAGTTATAAGATGACCAAGATCTGAGGATCCAATGTATCACATGGTGATTATAACTGAAAAGTCTGTATTGTATCATTGAAATTTGCTATGAGAGTAGATCTCAAGTGTTCTCACCAAAAATTTAAAAATAAATAAATATGCAAGGTGATGGATGCATTCCCTTCACAATGTATACTTATGTCAAATCAACATGTACGCTTTAAATATATCAGGTTTGTTCATCAATTATGCCTCAATAAAGCTAAAAAAAAAACATGAAGAAGTCACCTATTAAAGGAGTCCTGAATCTTGCAGGAATGAATCCCTATTATAGTGTTTGTCCCTCATGCTAGACTCAGTCTTTGCCTGTCCTGGAAAGTACGGCCCAGGTGCCACCTTCGGGGGGAATTTGGAAGCGCAGCAGCAGGAAGTCATCAGCCGGTTCTGGCCACTGCAGCCGGAGTATCTGAGAACTGCATGTCCGTGGTCACCAAGGGGCAACAAAAGTAACAACAAGGTGCCACCTTGCTGTCTGCACACTGTCTGGGAGGATGCACGTGGCACCATTATCCAAGTGGCATCATCACTAAATGTTGGTAAGCTTTGGGGCAGGGCCTTGAGTCCTGTGAGAGCAAAGGAGCAAGGAGAGATTAAAGGATGACTTCTCTGAAATGCCTCTTCCTTTGTTCTTCCATCAGCTGTGATCAGCTGTTTGGCAGGGAAAAAAGCGAGAGAGAATGAATGGAATGAGTCATTGGACTCCCTCCTAGCTCAGGGAAATGTTTTATTGGATTTGCTTTGCTTTGATGCCTATTAAGCCCATAAGGGTAGAGCAGGCCAGAGAGCGAATGTGAGGGCTGGGGGGATGGGGGTGGATACGGGGTCTTCCTACCATTGCCAGGCCATGCTTATGATTTATTAACTATCTTTTCTTTACCATGGTCTATTGGACCCATCCAGGGGGCCAATGCCTGGGTCCAGGACTGTGATTCATCCAAGCAGATCAGATGAAACTGATTTTATTTACTTGCTTCTTTTCTAAATCTAGAGTGACTCAACCTGGCCCAGGGCAGAAAACATTTGCCTGACCTTGACTGAAACGGTGAACTTTGGGAGAACTCACAGTTAGGCTACTGGTCACATGCTCTTTACTCATCACCTGACAAGGTGCCAAGAACGTGGTGGAAAAGTCTAATTCATACCTTCGATGCCATGGCCTTATTCTAAGAATCAAAATTAAAAATTATTTTTAATGCCAATCATCTAGTACTCAAGACAGAGTATTAATGCACCTTGGTTCATTCGTTCACACAACAAATATTTACAGAGAGCCCACCTCCTGTCCACTGCTGTACATGCCAAGTGCTAGAGACGCAGTGAACAGAAGAGGCAAGAGCCCTACGTTTGGTGAGGGGACAGGAGCAGTGTAGAATATGAGCAATATCAGGCCAAAACTAAAATCCAATATAAATACTAAAATTTTTTAATTTAAGTTTTTTTAATTTTAAAAATTAAAAATGAAGCAATTCTCTAAAAATTAAAAAAAAATGAAATTAAAACAGAAATTCAATACATTCAGATGGTATTAGGCACCCTAAGGAAAATGAAGAAAGAGATGTGATCGACTATGTTATAAAATGTAATCTCAAATCATCACTTTAGGCGGTTGCTATTATTCCCATGTTATCAGTGAGGAGAAGGATGTTTGGAGAGGTTATTTAACTTGTCCAAGTTCCAATAGCTCCTAAAGGACAAGAACAAAGATTTGAATGTAGGCAAGTAGCTGAGCCAACATGCTAACCTAACTTACTGCCAAAATGGTTAAAAGTTCAGATCAGCCCCCAAGTATAGCGAGAGTCCACTCTCCCTGGTCTTCCCCTTGCACTGAATGTTCCAGCCAAACAACTTCCTTGCAGTTTCTGGGAGTCCCCACATCTCTGGCCTCCAGTCCTGTGCACCCCCAAGCACAAGATGCTCCCCACAGGTGGTTCTGGGAGATGAATATGCACGGCACACAGACACATCTCTGAGTAACACTGACTCACATAGAGATAAAGTGATTCTCTTTTCAAGTCTTTCCTCTACTTCTGATTACATTGGATACCATTTAGTACTAGACAAACATTTCTTAACACTTTCTGAGTTCCTCTTTTTAAAAGCAAAGATTTATCGAGGTATAATTGGAATGTAGTTATCATACACTTTTTTTTTGATGTTCCTGTTCTTTTTAACTGTGTCAGGTCTAGTTTGTTTTCAATTTGTTTTTCTCCTCCTCGTGGATAAAAATCTGTTACTTCTTTGCATGGCTGGCAATCTCTGACTGGATGCAAGACATTGTCCATTTTACCTTGGTAGGTACTGGTGACATTTATTTTTCTAAAAATATCCTTAACTTGTTCCTGAATGCTTAAGTTATTTGGGAACAGTGTAATTTTCTGGGATCTTCTAAGCTGTGTTAGGTGGGATCTGAGAAGTACTCACTTTAAAGTAGGACTGATTACTCCCCATGACTGAGGCAGGATCCTCCGTGCACTTTACCCCATGCTCCATGAATCTTGAAGTTTCCCGGGCTGGGTGGTAAGAGCAGGCACTTTTCCCAGCCTTCTGGAGAGGACAGAGTACTCTCTTTAATCCCTTCTTCATGGGAAAGGACTGATTGCCGCTCACCTGAATGCCTGAGGGCCGCTCTCTGCAGCTGTCTGGGGTTCCTGCTCTGTGCAGCTCTCTCTCTCTCTCCAGAACTCTGTCCTTGAATTCTAGCTATTTTCATCTCCCTGGACCCTCAGCTCCACCTCCTCAGCTGCCAGCCTCCACCTGGGCTTCTCCTCTGCTCCTGGCAACCTGGTGATTTTTATATTCCTATATGTATTCTTTAGCTTTGCTCTAGAATGAAGTTAAATTACTTGGAAACAGTTTGGTCCTTTGGGGTCCTGCTTCTAAGATTTGTTAGGTGGGATCAGAGCCATACACACTGAAGGGCAGATTATTCCCTAGGCAAGAAGCCGGGGCAATCTCACAGCTCACCTCATTTTTTACCACCTCTCAGGGATCACTGTCCTCTGTGGCCTTTGTCCAAGTCTTGAAAACCATTACTGCACATATTTTGTGGCTCTTTTGGTTGTTTTAGAAGGGAGCATAAATACAGTCGCTCAGGTTCCATCTCCGTCTGAAGCAGAAGTCTCCTCACCTCATAACCTCTTTTTTTAAATGAACAAAGCAGACCACAAAGCTTTGCACAGGCAAGAATATTTAGCTAGAATTTAGAAACTTGGTTTTTGTTTGCTCAGTGTTTATGGTTAACTTATTTAGAACAACCAAACCTGCTTTTCTATTTATGCTAATATCAAAAAATCCCATAGTTGAATGAATATAAGTTTAAAAATAAATTAACTTAAATAAACTAGTAAAAAAGTAGCAGGACAAGTACAAACAAGACAGGAAGTCAGGTCATCAATCACTAAGGGGGTAGGGGAGCATCTGAGGTCAGAGGGACACTGACCTCATTGGCCCCTGCTTTCCAACCTAACTCCCTCCCAGCCTCCTGCCCATCCCATCAGCCGAATGAAATCCTTCCTCAAGGCCTTTGAATTCCTCCCTTCACCACTTCTTGACTCACCCTGTGCTGGTCTTTCTGAGAACAAATGTCACACTGTAGTGATATGTCCACCCCCTCGCATCAGCCGCCTTTGTTTTCCTCTGGACCAAAGCCGTCCGGTCCAATGGCCACAAGCCACATGTAGGCATTGGGCCCTGGAAGTCCAGCTAGTCCTAATTGCTACGGGTCCTAAGCATAGATACACAGTGGGTTTAGAAGACAGTACAGGAAAAGCACTCAGAATATCTCATTAATACTGTTTATGTTAAGTACGTGTTGAAATAAATATTTGGGATATATTGGGTCATCTAAAATATGTCATTAAAGTTAATTTCATCTTTTTCTTTACCCTCTTTGTGACTACTAGAAAATGTCACATCACCTGCGTGGCTTGCACGCCATTTCTATTGAACAGAACTATACATACGTCATCCCGGCTCCCAGCACAGAGCAGCAGTTTATCAAATACCTGTGACACTTTAATGATTAAATGAACATGTGAATGAGTGGCTTTAACTAGATTGGGAGTTTCTAGAGGGAATATTGAAGCGCATCAGGAGATGCTTCAGTTTCTTCATCCATGTAATGGGGATAATGATAACACATACTTCACAGAGATAGTGACAATAAAATGAGATAATTCATGGAGAACCCTTACCTTTGGGCCTGGGTGGGTGGGTATGCTCAAGAGAAGTTACACATTATGGGGAAAATTATGTCCATGTAGAACATTATGTCCACATAGAATCATACTGTGCAAAAGACCTTAGCCACTGAGTACCAAGAATTAAGAGAAAAGATTCTTTTCAGTGGTGTTTCTCTTGCTTATTATGCAAATGTGCTACAGACACTTCCCATGGCTCATGTGTAAGGGCCCAGTTCTGTGGCTTAAACACCCTTCACCTCGTGCCCATCCCCCCTACTTATTGGTGTTCTGATATCTAACTACTTACAAGCCATGGTGTGTGTGCGTGTGTGTGTATCAGTAAAACACTTTCTTCCAGGTCTTATCTTATTGCTAAAAATAATGTACTTGTAAATTGCTTTATAAATTATTTATCATGAGGGGCTTCATCATTGAACAAGTGCTACAACGTACTGTGAAAATGGGGGGCAGGGGGACTGGCTGCAAAGGAGGGAGAGAAGAAGGCATAGGAATCACTTATAAATAATATATTCATCGGTCAAAGAAAGTTATCGCCTTTTAGGAAGTGTCTGGGATTCATCTTGCACACTAAGTAGGCATCCTCTTGCCGACTCCTGGGCGAGCTGGCCCAGCCTCTTTGCTGCTCCATCTCTGATTTTGGTGATAGGATGCTGTTTATTTATTTCAGCCAAAGCCACAATTGCCATGTCTCATCACCTGGAAATAAAAAGCAAACCGGGCTGACTGGTGCCACTGAGGAAACGTAAAGATGTGTTGGCATCTCCTGGGAGTGAAGCCGGTGCCCCTGAGTCAGGCTCTGTATTTGGTATTCACCACGGAAGTGCTGCTCCTAATGAAGGCATTTGGTATTCATGTGGGTGTCACATGTATTTCCAGCGACGCTGGGCTCTAATTGAGCGAGGGTTAATGGACACCTCTATTAAAGTGTTATCGAAAGTTTGACATTCATATGACCCAGTTTAAAAATCAGACAAACCTAGACATTAAATCCGAAGGGGAGAAAATGCAGGAGCCAAATACATAATGCCGACTTCAGACAGAAACATTAACCTGCCGGGGAGAGGGACAAACGGTTGATCCAAGTGCTTCTTGCTCCTGTGCTTCTCCTCACCCCTCCTGTGCTTAAGCGTTGGCATGTTCCCCATGCCCCAAGGGCCAGTATCTCTGCAATAAGTGCATGGGGTGGGGGACCAGAAGGAAGGGCGCAACCACTTTAAATGAAAGACGCCACTCACCTCCTACAATCCCCACCATACCCTTGGCTGTTCACTAACTATCTAAGGTACGTTTCATTTTTCCTGTATAGACTGAAATTGAAAGCTCAGAGAACTTAATTGAGTCTTAACCTGATTTATGGAGCCTCACAGTTCACAAGTAAATAACAAGCAAGGATTAGAACATTCATTATGCTTGCATGTATTTTCTCTACTCATTAATTCAACAGATATTTATTGGGCACTTACTTTGTGTCAAACTCACTTACTAGCTGGTTGATATTAGTAAACAAAACAAACTCTTCCTACAACTACTTTGGGGAAAAGTCCAGCAGTGTTTCATGAAAATAAACTTGCACTTATTCTATGATCCAGCAATTTCACTCCTAGGTCTTTATGCAAGACAGATGAATGCAATAAAATGTAATAACAGAATACTCATGGCCTCTTTACTCATAATGAGCAAAAAAATAAGATAAATGAACGCAACAGAATATTCATAACCTCTTTTTCATAACAGCCAAAAGTAGAAAATAGCCCAGGTGTGTCCATCAATGGAAGAACAGATACAGGGTGCTACATCCACACAATGGAATACTACATAGCAGTAAAAAGAGTGAACTATTGATTATGTTACAACTTGGAAGAATCTCAAAAACAGAGTGAAAGAAGTCTTGCAAAAAATGAATACAGGCCCTCTGATTCCATTTATATGAAATTCTAGAAAAAGAAAAACTAATTAATGTTGAGAAAGACCAGAATAATAGTTGTCTCCAAGGCAAGTGGAGTTGGGTTTTAACTAAACAAGAGACATAGGAATTTTGAGGGGGGTGACAATAAAGTTTGTCTTGATAGGGGTTTGAGTTTGATAGGTGTATGCATTTTCAAAACTCACCAAATTGTATAATTAATACTTGTGCATTTCATGAACACCTTACCTGAGAGAAAAAAGATTCATAAATGAATATTGAACTCTGGTTAATAATGATGTGCATGCTAAAGTGCTTAGATGTGATGTCTTCAACTCAGTTTGAAATGCATGAAGAAATAAAATGGATAGATGAATGGAGGGAGGGATAGGTGGATGAATACGTGATGAAAATAATATAGCAAAACGTTACTTGTAGAATCTGAAGGATATGTATATGGAGGTTCCTTTGACAATTCTTTCAACTTGTTTGTAATGTTTGAACTTCTCTGCTATAACGTATTGAGAAAAAATATCTTGAAATGAGCAAAAAGACTCTTTCCCTGTGTTCATGTTGCTGACATTCTAGTACTGAAGACAAATATTCAACAGATGAACACATAGGTAAATAGGTAACTGCATATTTTGGTGAATGTAAGAAGGAATAAAGAAAGGGTGCAGTGTGAGAAATATAATAGAGGAACTTGTTACATGGGTGGTCAGGGAACAGTTTTGTCAGGCATTAATGTTTGGAAAAGTGAGACAGGAAGTTGAGAAAGAAGCAATAATGAAAAATGTGTGCATCCAGGTGGGAAGTAGGAACACAGCCCAAAGAGAGGACAGCATAAGTGAAGACCCTAGACAGGAGAGTCCAACATAGGCAAAAAATGGGAGAAGGCCAGTGTGGATGGAGTGTGGCCAACACAAGAAAGAACCAGTGAGAAGAGAAGGTGGAAGGTAGGCAGGTTCTAGATCATTCAGTAATTTACAGGCCCTGGTAGGTTTTCATCATCTCTGGGTAAGTCAGAGCACACCTAAGGTATTATGCTCTAAGCTGAATGATAAAACAAGGATGATGGCTATTATTTATTAAATGCCTGCTATGTGCCAGGCACTGTGTCAAGCACCTTATAATTTACGTTTTTTAAACTTCACATCTCTCCAAGCCATATACCACTTTAAACAAATACACAAATAAACGTTTTCCATTTTACACATGGGAAAACTGAGGTTTGGGAGAGGTTAGGTACTTTACCCAATGCTGCACAGCTAGTCCAAGGTGGAGCTGGGATGTGAGGCTGAGATAATGAAGGGCAGGTAGTCACGTTATCTGAGAAGCACTTGCAGGGAATGGAATGTTTAACCTGTAAGCAGAGAAATCTCCATGAAGCCACAACTGTTCTCTTTGAATCTGTAAAGCGATCATGGGGAAGATTTCATTTGTACACTATAGTCACAAGGATCTGAATTAGGATCGGTGAGAAGATATTCTAGAAAAGCAAATTTGTGGCTAAGAAATAAAAAATCATAATGAATAGATTTGTCCAGACGTGGAGAAAGCCGCATCAAAGATTATGACTGATGACAGACTTGCTTCCACTGAAGCCAGTGAGGCCTAGTTGGATGGCCACAGCGCAGAAGGACTCAAGCGCAGAGAAGGCTTGGACCTGCTGACTTTTCAGTGCTTCCCAGCCCTGAGATTCAGGGTCAACCAGCTCTGTATGTGGCCATGGCTTTTCCAGCAGGTTGGTAGCAGCCATCGTCCTAGAACTGCATTAATACATCTTTATCAACACGTCATGCACAAACAACATTTTCGCTGTAAGCCACATTCAATGTAATCCTCCTGAGAAGCGTCAGTGACTTGGGAGCGCCGGCTAAAGAGAAGAAGGCTGACGTGGGAGTGCAAGGGCATTACCGCTCACGAGGGACAACCTGTGCAACTCCCCCAAGTGGGGAAGCTGTCTGGCATTTGCTGGTCTACAAGGCTGCACTACAGGGGTAACGACAGAAAACCTGGAGGTGCCCAGTGCCAATGAATAGATTCCTGCGGACTCAGAGATTTCTCAGGGTCTGGAAATACAGGGCGTGAAGAATCTAGTAGCCTAGGTGGCACAAGTAGAAAAAGAAAATCCAAGTGCATGTCAGCCCTGAACCTACCCAGGGAGGCCAGCAAGGGTTGTAATTGTCATTCATGTTGTAGGGATCTACTCAAGCTTTTATCCTTCACCAGCATCCTAACATGTAAGGGGACAAGAAATGAAATGACTGGGGGCTTGCTGTGAGCCAGGCACTGTGTTAGACGCTATTGTGACATTTCACATACTCTTCACAGTGACTCTGTGAGCTAGATTCCATGATCGCCCCAGTTTATAGATGAAGGCAGAGCTATTGAGTAACTTTTCTCAAACTCACGCAAATGCAATACGGTAAAACCAGTATGCAAAGCTACCCGGGTCAGACTCCAAGGTCTTTGTTTGTAACTACTATAACCTATGAATGAGTGAATTGAATGGCAGCTTAAAGTAAAATTGTGTATCCAATAAACTTGAGCCATTACTTGGGATTAAAAAAATAAATAAAAATGAAGGGAAAATTATTACCAAAACAGCAAGGCTGAGGAAATCAAAAAAGCCAGGCACATCATTTTGCTCTATGCTTCCTAGTAGCCAAGAGAAAGAGAAAGAACCCAGATGGGTTATGTGGCTCTCATACTCACTGAAGGGAGGAAGATGAACCCATCTGGAGCCCCGTGTGCGTGAGCATCTCTGAGCAAGGTCCCAGCTCCAGGGATGAGCATATCTAGGCTTAGAATCCTATGTCTGCCCATGTAGTCCATTTAATTGCCCTTCAAAATGAATTCTTCTGGATATGAAGTGTATTATTTCTTATGGAGAAGTGGTCCTGGCCTTCTTAGAAACAGTTTAAATTCAATGACACAGAAGTATTACCATTATTAGAAAACAGAGTTGGCAAAGGTTGGCTGGCATATGCACACATCTGTGGAGCAAACTGTGGGGTTACAATAAGTGCACACTACTCCGTTTATGCTGCTCAACCCCAGAGCCAATTGTCCTATTGTGGGTATGACCTAGCTAGAAGTACCCTGATAAACTCTACTCCCTATTGTCAGATTGGTTCAGTTGATTCCAAAGTAGGCCTTAATCGCCCTGACTTGGCTCCTGTTAACAATACACACCCTCTCCTACATTTCTATCCCAATAAGATGGCCTGTGACTCATACATAATATCATGGTTCCTCTATCTTGTGAGGAAAATGTTATATAAACAGTTCAAATAATAACAATGTGTTCCAGTTTCTGAAGAAAGAAAACTGAGGCTTAGAAGAGGCAAGTTAATGTCCTCAGGTTCATATATATTGTAAGCTATAAAATTAAGTTGCAAACCCATGTATGTCAGGCTCCAGATCTCTTCCCACTGCACTACCCTGTCTCTCTTACAAGCACAATTAATAGCCTACTCTTAATGAGGTGCAGGCACAGTGCCAACCCAGGCTTCTCTGTCAGGGCTCACATTTTCCATGTTATTTCAAAGGTATGTGAAACTAAACGATTAGCCCTCACACTGGGGTCTGCAGTCTGTGCTACTATCTCGTTAGGCAGATCTCTACTAAAGTAGCAAATGCCTCCTATCTTCTTTTCTTGTGCTTATTGTTATTATAATATTGCCCATAATAAGACTGTCCCTTTAGGAGTTGAAACCCCCATACTTCCCTAAAGATTTCCCCCTGGCGACTCTAAGGTCCTGCCCAAGGACCTCTTAGCATCTGATTAAATATGAATGTGGAGGTGGGGTGCTCACTGACTTGTGATCCTTTCCCTTGAAACCCCCATTACTAAAATACAGCTGAAGAGGGCTGGAAACCGTGCCGTCCCATTATCTATTAATTCTTAATAAACTGGTGGATTCTAAAGATGCTTGGATGATGAAAAGGGATGGGTAGACAAGATCTTGTCTGTACCTAAGATCCAATCTGAAAGAAAGCCAAGAAGCTGAAATGATACCCTGGACACCCTAGGAGAACATGCAGGAGCCCATTTGCACTCAGCTTGGATCATCTGAGCGGGAGACTCCCTCGCCACATCTGATGGACTCCCTATGCTCACAGTCTGACCCAAAGCCACAGCCTTAAACAGGTGCTCTTCAAGCATGTTCCTGCCTCTGTCTTTGCAGTTCATATTTCTTCACACTGGGTCTGAGAAGCAAGCCTCAAACTGCTTTGTCATCTACCACAGGAGAATACTAAGATCGCATTCTAGAAAGGACTATAGAGGAGACAACCCAGAAGCTAGTTTGGGAAGTCAGTTTCATCTTAAAAACCATCTTTAATGGATTGGTACTGCTACTTGGAAGGCTGTGTTGAAGACTCTGAAGCTATGTTCAACCCCAGTGGGAAACGGGCAGTAACTGATTAGTAATATTTTCCACAGACACAGGGAATAGGAGTGAGAGCAGCAAGTGCGTCTGACGTTCACCGCATCTGAGAGATGTTCTTTGTCTCTCTGAAATGGAGAAAAATTTCCAGTCCCTGCAATTAGATCAACTTTCTGTGGCAAAGATGTGAAACAGGCAGCCTCTGCCTCATGAAGAAAGCAGACTCCGGGCAGGACTTGTAGGAAATAACCTTGAGATTCAGCCCCGTGAAGACGCACATGGCTCCTGGTCACACTTTGATGCTGTGAGCAGACTCACCAATATTCTCTCTTCCCCTATCAGTCTGAGACACGGACACCTGAGACCCCTTTGAGCTTCTGGCTCCTAGAGCTGGCTTCTGTCTTGATATCTCTGTGCACAAGCCCAACATAATTGCCTAATGACCTTCCAGGCCCAGATCAGAACCTGACTTCTCTAAGAACATCAAAACTGCTCTCTAGGACCTCTTTGTTCTCCAGTCTTAGCATGAATAATGCCCCTGCATGTTTACCTATCTAGCCCTTCACTCTGCAAGGAAAAGTCTGAGAGATACAAAAAGCAAGGGATTTTTGAGAGGCCACCCACAGATACAGTAACAGGAGAGCTGTGATACTGACCCAGGGTCATGTGTGTGACTACTCTGGTTCCAGAACCAACACCAGAGAGCAATGTCATTACTGCAAGGCGACACCTGAGACTTACGACATACTGGACATATGCACACTCTCATTACTATAGTGGGAACCCTTAGGTGAAGACTTCAGTTATGTACTTTTGAGAGCACCTAATACAGCTGGGGACACTGGGAAAAAACATCATGCCGTGAATTTCATATAGCCCAAGACCTCATAAAATAGTCCAAGCTGGAACTTTGAGGCTGAGTACTAGGATATACAGGCTCCCAGGAATAAAGACTGTCTCTGAGACCCTCAACCAGCCCATCCTAAGGCATATGAAGAGCAGAGAAGACCCTTAAAGTCTTCTTCTCCTGTGTATGCATTCATATGAAGGCATTCGAATTCTTTTCAGAATCACTTGTTTAATTGTACAGACATTCCCTGTGTGGACAGGAATCAGGTCTGCCTTCCAGACCCCTGTGGTCCCCACCCCCATCACCAAGTGCCTACAAAAAACCCAGACCTGTGGCTGTTGTCTACAAACGTCACGTGGAGGTGAGGACGTGTGGATGATTCTGTGGAAAAATGTGTGGGTTAGACAGCCTGGAGGGGGAGACGGCGCCTGGATACGATCTAGGATTAGTCCAGAAAACCATGGGAAGCCAATGGCATTGTGTTGCCATGGCTTTATGAAGAGGTGCAACTTCTTCAAAGGCTGGAGTGTGGTGGGAAGGAAGGATTTAGCATCCAGTTTGCCTCAGTTCCAATCTCACCTTTGACCCAGGTTCAGACAGGTCACTTAACCTTCCCATCGCTCAGCTTCCTCCCTGCAAGATGGAGATAAGGACAGTACTTACCACCTAGAGTTACTGAGAAAATCAACTGAGTTAATGTAGAAAGTGTTTGGAATAATTCCTGAATTCTCCAGGCAGGTTGAAGGAGTGTATGTAACAAGATTCAGTGCCAAAGGAGAGTGCAGAAGTGAGTGACAGACAGTACAGCAACAGGCCTTTACCCAAGGGCTCTTCAGCATCCAGTCTCACTACTTGGCTAATGGTTCTAATTTTAGTTTAGAGACATGCCCCTCACCATCCTCAGCCTTCAAAATTTGGGAGGGCTGTAGGTGGAGGACGTAACCCATAGCCTTTTCCTTCCAGACTAGAGTTAGGATGGGCACATGTCCTGACTCAGTCTGATCGGGAAAATTCTCCAGACTCTTTGGCTATGACCACCTAGGACTCCTTTCCACTGGAGGTAAAGCTGGAAGGAACTGCCAGCAGCCACTTTACAGGATGAGGAGAGTCAAACTGAGA